TACACACACACATGCACACGCACTGACACACACGCAGACACACATATACACACACACAAGCTCACACACATGCACACATATGTACAGACACACATGCACAAATATGTACTGACACACATGTACAAATATGTTATAGACACACATGCACAAATATGTTATAGACACACATGTACAAATATGTTAAAGACACACATGTACAAATATGTTATAGACACACATGCACATACACAAATATGTTATAGACACACATGTACAAATATGTACAGACACTCATGTACAAATATGTTATAGACACTCATGTACAAATATGTACAGACACTCATGTACAAATATATTATAGACACACATATACAAATATGTACAGACACACATGTACAAATATGTACAGACACACATGTACAAATATGTACAGACACACATGTACAAATGTTATAGACACACATGCACATACACAAATATGTTATAGACACACATGTACAAATATGTACAGACACTCATGTACAAATATGTTATAGACACTCATGTACAAATATGTACAGACACTCATGTACAAATATATTATAGACACACATATACAAATATGTACAGACACACATGTACAAATATGTACAGACACACATGTACAAATATGTACAGACACACATGTACAAATGTTATAGACACACATGCACATACACAAATATGTTATAGACACACATGTACAAATATGTTATAGACACACATGCACATACACAAATATGTTATAGACACACATGCACCAATATGTACAGATACACATATACACAAATATTTACAGACACACATGCACAGACACACATTCACAAACACAAGCATGTAAAGACACACCCACGCGCATGCACACACATACAGACACATACACACACATGAAATGAATGGGTGTTTTTTCCACCTACCTCTCTCTCTCTCAGCCAAGATTCCCCGGTGCTGTGGCTGCGACTAGACCCCGACATGCACCTGTTGAGGACGGTGACCTTTGAGCAGCCAGACTACATGTGGCAGTATCAGCTCAAGTTTGAGCGCTGCATCGTGGCACAGTTTGAGGTCGGTCAACGAGGAGAAAAGGAAAATATAGCGTAACATGGATAGCTAGAATTCGGCGGGACCGGCCTTGGTAGTTTGAGAGATCCGTAGTTCGAGGGATCTGTAGTTCGAGGAATATCTCACAAAGATAAAAAAGAAAAGAAAAAAAATGGGACCGCAGGCGCAGTTTGACTGATACGTAATTTCGAGTCTTCTGTGTTTGTCCTATCCATGTTATACTGTATTTCAAGGGCCTTTAAAATAGCAGCTTGCACTGTGCGCTTCCCAGGAAGTTGAGATTGTCTCAAAAGGCCAACAGGTCTGCTGGGGTAATGATATAGATTGGAAAACACATAGAGCTTGCTGCTGAGCAGGAATTTGCGCTATACAAATGAATGCTATCTATCATTTTCTTTATTAGTAAGTGTCCTTGAAAACTGCAAATATAAGTTTTATGTACCTTTGATCTACGTTTTTCAGTAAAATCCACACAGAAATATGTTTTAAATAGACATAGTGGTGCTGAGCTAAGAAGAAAAAAAGGAGGGGGATAGAAAATTTCTCAACGGACAGAAAAAATATCGGTTTCTTGAATTTCATTATTTTGATGAAGCCATGTGTTTTTTTAAAAAAGCACCTGATTTCAGGACGCCACACAATAATTTCTTCCTCCCCAGTTCAGTGCTACTGACTGAAGTTTCTTTAGGCCATTCCAAAAGGGGGGGGGCATTAACATGTTCTTATGCACAGTAGAATTGTAAATTGGCTGATTTATCAATGTCATGCTCATAACTGTGCCAGAACAACATAGGGGGAACTGCTGTTTTTTCTTTCCTCATCGTTACTATTGTCATTTTTTCTCTACTTGTTTTGTTTGTTTGTCTCTCTCTTGCCACCTGCTGTTTCTGGTGTGCTTTGATAGTCGAAGTAGACTTTGTACTGTTGAGGCTAGAGAGGTGAGCACAGTAAGCCTGATTCCCCGTTTGGACTTCTCTGTTGACATCCACCCCTTGGCGCTCATATGACCTTATGCAGTTGTGAGCGCTGTAAAACCTTACTAAAACTAAAACAATAATTATTCGTTATTTTTCTGTTACTTTTCCGCAGGCTATCGAGGCTCTGGGCAGGTTCCCGACCCCGGCCTCTCGCTATGCACTGACCGACACGATAGAGAATGAGGAATGTTACTACAGGGTCAGGCAGGACGCTTGCTACTGTCTCGCCAAGGTAAAAGCTCTTCTCACTCTCTCTCTCTCTCTCTTTCTCTCTCTCTCTCTCTCTCTTTCTCTCTCTCTCTCTCTCTC